CTGCTCTGCCTGGGGAGGGCGCGAGGCTCCTCCCCTGAGGGGGTGGCCGCGTGTTGGGCGTAAAGGGCGGGAGAAAGGGAGAGAAGGGCAGAGAGAGGCAGAGATCGAGCACCTGGTGGAGACCAGCAAACCGCGTTTGGGAACGTTTATTGTCTAATGGAGACAGGCAACTATAGTGAAAAGTTAAATTCCTGAATAGGAGAACTTTGGGTGGTTCGGGCAAAACCTTTTTTGAGTTGATTTCGTACGGCGTCCAAGCTTAGGTCATTTTGGAAAGGAAACAAGTTTCAAGAAAGTCTCATGAAATTTTTAAAGTGGAATCTTTCACTTTATATTATTTGAATATTATTATTTAATTTTTGCCCTAAGCAAATTTTGCTTTAAAATTAATATTTAAATTTTTATTTCAGAGAGTAATAAAGATAAAACGGTAGATTATTTAAAAATGAATGTTCCTTTGTTAGTTCTCCAAAGAGGATGGGGAGCCAGCACTTTCCAAGAAGACAGCAGGGAAGTTTGGGGAAGAGCCAGAGCAGGTGTTCTGGAAACTATCCAGGATAGCAGGCACCATAGACCCTGGCCGAGAGGATCCTGAGGAGGACTTGGCCAGCACAGGAGACAGGCCCAGTCTCCTGGGCCAGATGGTGTCTTTCTGACTGAGAGGGAACGGAACAGGTGGCCTTCTACTAAAGGGGATGGGGCAAGAAGTGAGGAGAGGAGGGCTAGGGAGGCTTGGGATACTGAAGTTCCTCAGCATGGAGGGACCCTGGAGACGGGATGAGGTTTACAGGTGCTGAATTTCCAGGTTGGAAACTGGGATCCCCTGAGAACCTTCTAGTCTCCCTCTTTGTATATCTGGCCTCTTCTGGAGAACAGCCTCACCATCAGGATGCCCCCTGCTGTAGGATCTGGACAAACAGTAGCTTCTGGAGCCCCTAAATCCCCATTCTCTAGACTCTGGCTGAGTTAGGAAGGAAGACAGAACGCAATCATTGCCTCAGCTCTTGGAATGAATGGTGCCTAAGAAGGCTCTGCTGAGGCCAAAGGGCTATAGAGTTAAGAAACCAGGAGCACCTGGCTGACTCAGTCAGTTGAGCTTTGTATCAGGTCATGATTTCACGGTTCGTGAGTTCAAGCCCCACATCGGGCTCACTGCTATCAGTGCAGAGCCTGCTTTGGATCCTCTGTTCATCCCCCACTTGCACTCTCTCGAAAGTAAATAAACATTAAAAAAAAAAAAGAAACCAAATGTTTCACAGCTTGACTATCATTTATAATAGCTATTTGTTGAGCGGATACTATATGTGAGATACTGTTGTAAGCTCTTTATATTGCCTTGTTATTAGCTACGGGAAGACAAGCAAGTCACAATAGATCTTTGAATCTTTATAATTTAAGTGAGATATATATGGCTTTATTATGGACAGGGTTTCTCAAACTTTAATATGCCTATGAATCACCTGAGAATCTTGTTTACAAGAAGATTCTGACTCTGGTTTCTAGCAGGGCCCAAGACTGCCTTTCCAGCAGCTCCCTCCTGCTGGTCCAGGGACCACACTTGGGGTCTTAGTCCACACAAGGACTTAGAACGTAGTGGTTGGCAGCTGGTAGGCACTCAATAATAAATAGTCTTTGAATGATTAAATGAGATATTAGATGCAAAACACTCATGAACTGTAAAGCACTGTGCAAGGGTATGTAACCATCATTCCAAGAGAGTAAGGCTGGGGAAGGACAAACTCCTAGTCCTAGAAGTGCAGCTCTGTAGAATAGCAGCAAAGAACACTATTTCTGTAACTGACTACCTGGGTCCAGATCTCACCACTCAGTGGGCAGAGCTTGGGCAAGTAATTTACCTTTCTGTGCCTCAGTTTCTTCATCTATGGAATGAAATGAAATGCCTACCTCCCTGGGATACTGTGGGATTTATTGAGACGATTTCCCTACATCTCTGAGCACTGGGCCTGGCTCCATATGTTTAGTTATTATTATTTGTCTCCTGGATTGGGGGCAACCCCAAAGCTCACAGGAGCCTGGGTCTCAGCACCTAGCTTTCTAAGGGCCATCAAGCCAATTCCTCCCTCTTCCTTTGTGGCCCTGATTTCTCCAACAGCATTAAAGTTACAGTGCACATGAAAATCAGTTAGAATACAGCCACCTCAAAGATAGCAAGAAAGGACGTGAAGGAGAAAAGCAGAAGGATCTGGTGAGGAATCAAACTGCCAGTAAAAGAGTATGGGGATTCTGAACCACCCTGAGAAGGTTTCATTCATTTCTGGAGGCATATTCATTCTGTGACCTACAGTGAGTTACTTAAAATCCTTGGGCAGTATCTTCCTGGTGTTCAAAACACGATTGTGAGGATATAGACATGTTTTATGTAGATCTATAAAGCTACTAGCGGCGTCCTACGTGCAGAAATGCTCAATAAGCAGTGGGCACTTTTTTTAGTAGAAGTTCTGGGCTGACCTCAGATTGCTTGAAAACCAGGCTTTTTTATATTCCAGTGCCCCCATATGGTGAGTGCATTAACTGCAAGGATGGTACTTTTATGCCAATTTCCGAGCCTTCCTTGAGGTTAGGTGCTAGGTGTGGCTCCAGGTCAGCTCCATGGCTTTGGGCAGGTTCCCTCAACAATGGCGGGAG